ATTGCAGCAACATAGTAGTTTATAAAAGTTATACAACATAATAATAACAAATAACAACAGCAATAATAAAACATTTTATTTATAATGCATGTTCAGATTCAAATTCATTTATTTGCCATTTGCAGTGAAACCACATAGGAAAAAACTGTGCAAGACTACCCTGGTGTGCACCACACACACCAGAGCTCTTGCCACGGCGCCATCTTTACGGCGCCATGCGGTTTACGGCGCCATGTTTCGATTTGAAATAAAATCTCACTATGTGCTACAGTCATTAAAACACAAACAAAACCAAAAACAGCATATAACAGTAAATAAATATGATTAATTTACTAATGCGACAGTGGCTCAGTTGGTAGAGCATTGGCCTTTGGGCCTGAAGGTCATGGGTTCAAGCCCACCGTAAGACCTACTTCACAACTCCCATTGATGACTGCTGTCGTTGTGTCCTTGGGCAAGACACTTAACCCCACCTTGCCTGAAGCCCCCACTGAAGGATCTCAGCTCCTGTGGACTCACCACCTGCAAGAGGAACAGTGAGGGGTATGGTGCTAAGTGTACTGGGTGCGGCTCTGACTGTCAGCCCCCCCCCCCATCCATTTTCTGGATTAAGGGAAGAAAATGGAAGGATGGAAATTATTAATGGTTATTTTTTTCACACAGCCTGATGCCTTCTTTTTTTCTTTTTTTAAACAAAACACAATAATATTAGTATTAAAAATAAAATCAAAATACCATTTGCATCCTTTACACAGAGGACAGTGGCACAGGAGCACACATCTCAGTGATGAGATGAGAAAGTCATAAAGCAGTTGGGAAATGATTAGTGTCTCTAAACATGGGAGCAAACTGATTCATAATGCACATGCAGATTGAAATTCAGACTGAAAGACTGGGAGACATGGTCCTCACATATCGCACACTCTCCGACGCATACAAGCCATTGTTGGGTCTTGCTTTTGTCAAGCTCAAACAAACCATTGGGGGATCAGGGATCAACTCATATCAAGGAATATTCTTCCCTGGTCAAGTGTTACTGTCGGGGTCTATGTGTCAAACAATAATCCATAAATCTCGTTGTGTCTCTCCAGGTTGAATTCAGACTGGAAGACTATCTGCCTGCAGCTCAATCACACCTCTGGGCCAGCTTCTTCAGCCTATCACACAGCACTGCCAGCTTCCTTGCTAGCCCATGCCAATCAAGTGGGCAGTTCAAAAGAATTCTGGTTCATGGAATAGTATTCTGGTTTAGTCTGTTTTTAGTGAAAAGCTTTCAAACATAGCTATTTACCAACTACGTACTGAGACACAAATGTGAGGCTTTGCAACGATCCTCAGGATCTAGGTCCCTCACCTCAATCACACCTTTGTGTCAATAAATCAAATGACGTAAGCTAATCTTATCTCTGTCCACTCATCACAGTGTTGTACCTGTCCTTCTGATTAGTTGTATCTTATTGTGTGAAACATGGTTATATTCTCACACAATGCCGTCTTTATCCGTATGCCTCTGGTCTTTTCACATTCATCTCACTGTCCTCTTCTTCTCCTACAGCTCTTTTTAATTAAACTCCTCGCTGAAGCGGAGAGCATAGGGGAAATAGACTATGTACACTGTTTTATTACTGTTTTATTAGCTTACATTATTGAAGTAGCAAAATGTGGTCTACTCGACTTGTTGACTTGTAGACTTTAAAACAGCTCTGCTTGTGTACAAGTCTCTCCATGGCCTCGCACCAAAATATATTAGTGACATGTTAGTCCCATATGAACCAGCCCGGACTCTGAGGAGCACAGGGACTGGACTCCTGTTAGTGCCCAGAGTCAGAACTAAACATGGGGAGGCTGCTTTTCAGATTCATGCCGCAAAAATCGGGAACAATCTTCCTGAAGATGTGAGACAGGCCTCCTCTCTGACAATGTTTAAAACCAGGCGAAAAACCAGTTTTGTTTAGCTGTGCATACAACTGAGGGATTTTATATTTTATATTTATTTTAATGTACTGTGATGATTTATGATTTTAATGCTTTCTTATTTTGTTCGGCACTTTGAGTTGCCTTGTGTATGAATTGTGCTATACAAATAAACTTGCCTTGCCTTGCCTTGCCTTGTTGTGTGGAAAAAGTGTTGCAGCCAAATGGGTTCAAAATATGTCACTTTTTTTCACAGCTGCAGTGTCAAAGCACCTATTCTCACAGCCGGAGGAAACACTCAGGACACTCAGGAGGTGGGTCAGTCAATTCTCAAAGCAAATATTTGTCCTAGAGCTGGATAGTTAAAAAAAAAAAAAAGAGAATGAAAACTACTTGGAAAAATTTCCACTACATTTCTCCATAGAATTTTAAGTGCTTTAATCAGTGTTAAAGTATTTCACTGAAACCACAGATATGAACATAATATAACTTGTTTCTAGCCCTTAAAACAATATGTATGTCTTTACTGATGCACGTGGCATCAGTAAAGACATAACAAACGTGTCCAGGTGAAAACCAATATTGGAATCGCACCAACCAAATCATTTTGACCAATAAATATATCATTCCAACCAGTATTGGTTTAACCAATCATATTGGTAAATATTTGACCAATTCATTGGTGAATCTGTTTCAATATGTTTCATTTAAGAATTTGACAAGAACATGGATATGTATGCGCTTCTTTAATATTATATGCAAAAGAAAAAAACACAACAATGATAACAAACCCACACTAAATGTTTTATTTCAAGGTACACAGTTACACTAAACATTATCCACGTATATTTGACTCTTTATATCAAAACATTGCAGAGCTCTACATTGATGTCTCACAATTTCCCATACGACACTAATGAACTACCTAATTACTTGTTTGGACCTTCATCCTATTACCCAAAAGGCTTTTGTCAAAATACCAGAATATATGATCAGTAATGAATGTATTGAACATTGATTGTTTGTGGCCATAGCTGCATTTGAAAGCCAGATACTGTCATATCTCTGAAGCTAAGCAGACAGGGCCTGATTAGTACTGCGATGGGAAACACCAGGTGCCACAGTGGGACAGCGGCTGTAAAGAGCCAAGCTGTCGTTGTGTCCTTCTGTCAGTGTGCCACCGGGGCAGCTGCGGCTACAGTTGTGGTTTATCACCACCGTACATGAGGTGTGTTGAGTGTCCAAAAAAGCGCTGTATAAAACTGATGCATTATAACTCACAAAAGTTGTGCGTAAACAAGTCAAAGGTACCAATTGTGAAATAAGTGTAGCTGTTGAATGTCAACCAGTGCAAACCAATAAAATAATATATTCTAAACATACTGAAACTTAAATTTGCCCAGTTCCCGTTTTATTACTCAGTAAAGAGGATTTCAGGGGCTTTTCTTCTCTTTCCAAATTTATTGCCATAGACGGGTAAGGACAAACAGCCCCATGCATGCTAAACTTGGCCAGAGGACACTTAGAAAAGAATAATGCAATAAATCACCAAAAGTGCACTTTGGGATCGGGAGGTACGAGACAATTCACCAAATGATCCCTGACCAAATTGTAAAAGAACAAAAGGTGACCAATGCAAAATTGACATTAAGAGCATTTTGGTTTTTTGTATTGATTTCCGTTCTCATTGATCAAGTGATTTTTGATCTCTTTATAATATGCTTTTATGTTGCATTGTGTCACAAATGAAAGAATTCCACGCATCAAGCTGACTGTTGCAGTGTGTTGACATGGAGGCTGGACTTTGTTGTGTGATGACGTACTGTGAAAGAATTCAAGTGCAATTCAATACAGCGTTTCCAATTATAGTTTTAGATCAAAGAAATTAAAATGAACGTATTTTATAATTTGGCAAGGAAGACCAAGGCGTAATGTTATCTTAAGCTACAGGGTATATTTTAAACGTTTACACTACATAATAATAATTATAAAATCTGATTATAGTTCCTGCCTGGCTCACTTGTTTTCACATGCGTGTATTTCTGGCACGTTTCACATTTTTAGGTCAGGAAAGAGAGGACTACACTCCAGCACAAAACAGTTTTCTATTCATGTTTTATTTATTTACAAAACATTTCTAAAGTCATACACTCACAATCATATCATAATTCCTATGATTCCAAAGTGCTTTGTAAACGGGAACTCCCATTTTTTTTATTCTTTTATATTCAGTGTATGTGTATTTTATATTACATTGTATCGTGCTTTTTATTCTGTCGGTGCACACAGAGTACCTTTTTTTGCAAATGTATTCCAATGTAGTTTTTATACTGCACATGGCTAATAAAATGAATCTGAATCTGAAAGCTGCAGTAGTTCGTAGGCGGGGCCCCAAAACAGTAAAACAAACGTGACAATTTATACCTTTATAAAAATCTTTCATAACATGATAGAGGCAGCATGTTGTGGTATGTTTTGTTCACAATATTGAACTTATACGATCTCGTTCTGTCAAACAAAGTTTGCATGTTCTCCCCGTTTCTGCATAGGTTTCCTCCGGGTGCTGCAGTTTCCCCTACCGTATGGAGGGAATAAAACAATACCTGACCTTTCAATATTTGAACACTGAGAGGTCAGATAATGCTTTGGGTGACCATGGTCTGTAAAAATGCGCAATATAAACATCACTTACTTATACTTACAAACAAGTTGTTCACTCCAGCTTTCAGTTCAACATGAAATAATATTATTTCCCAAGGACATTTATAGTGTACGTGGATATTGCAGTGGGCTTTCATAGTGGCTCTGCCGAATTTAGCCCTGGAGACAAGTCAGCTGACGCGTTATGAATCCGGGCGGGCATGGGAAGGATATGAGAAGAAAAGGCGTGTATATAATAGAGAAAAGGAAACAAAACACACGGAACTGAAAAGACGAGGAGGAATAAAGACAGTGAGAGAGAAGGAGAGAGGGAGAGAGCCAGCAGTGACATCACACAGAGCCAGCCCTCAGCCTGCCTGCCTCCCTGCCTGTCGCGATCGCTTGGCACCTTGGCTCCACTTGTGCCGCGGAGAGCAGGCGCGCACATGCACAGGGCTTCACCGGCAGCCCCCACCGCGCTGACCCGTAGACCTTCGCTGGGAAAGGGGTCGGACCAGTTCGTCAAAGAAGGGGGGGAAACGCACACTTTTGACAGGATGAACAACAGTTTCATCAGCATGGCGTCGATAGGTGACTTCGACCCGCTGAATGCCTCGATCCCCGCCACCAAAGTTGAGATCACGGTGTCCTGCAGGTGAGGGAATGTTCACTGTGTATGGAGAGAGCGCGCCTGGGCAGGGAATGTGTTGCGTCCGAAGTTCACTGTTATTGTTTGGTCTCTCCATGGGTCAATCACTCCAAAGGCTTTTTACAGAGTGCTGAAAATGTCTTGTTTGTTTGAGTTTAAAAGACATGCTTTGGTTGGTCTAGACGTCTGGAGGGGTTGTAGGAGAAAGTATCTTGTTAAGTAAAACAGACTAGATTTGGAAAATGACAACTCAAGATAAATCACTGTTTGTCAAATTTGCGTTTAGACTGTTTTTTCTTGTATTTTTTAAATTCTTTTTTAGATCAAAGGACTATTCAAGCTAAGGGAGTTCACTTTTTAGTTTAATGAATAAAAGAGTGTCTTGTAGAAGTAAAATGTATTGAACAAAATCAGACCACAATATGCTGTCTTATCACAAAATATCGTTTGCATACTACAATAAAAAAAATGTGTCCTGTTGGTCAATATATATGACGCTTTGAGTTGAGGCTGGTTGGTTTGAGGCCAAAATACACGAATGTGAAAAGTAGTGATAGAAGCCAACTGTTCTGAGAGATAAAAGTTGGTTAGACAAATGTTATTACGTAGTTCAATTTTATGTGGTTAAAAACCCCAGCTGTAGAGGTTTTCTGGTCTACGTTCCATCACCTGCTGCTAATAGTATTGACTTTTATTTGCTGGGGTTATTTGCTTGTCTTTACAAATGTGCTATTCTGTCAAACATCCCTGTCCAAATAGGTATTGTAACTGAACAGGGTGTTTTGACTTGTCCTACTGCCCATGAAGCGCTGCCATGTTTCTATTTACAGACTAACATATGAGGGTGTATCACTGCATATACATTTAGTCATTCAGACGTGATTTATTTTCTTTTACCAAAAACAATTCGTTTCTTGGTCAAATGAAACTGTACCTCACCGCACATATGCGCTCGTGTGCAAGCTGTGATGTGATATAAGGTGACTCTTGCAGGCAGAGAAAGGTCTTGGTGCCATTTGAACATACGATATTTCCTTTCATTTGCGGAGAAGTTTATCCTCAGCAATAACTGAGGATAAACAATAACATGGTGGAAGGCTGGTATAAACATGGCCAATATTCCCAACTGTGAGTTTCATGTCAGCCTTTTGATGAGACGTCTCCGAGAATCTAGATAATTGTGTTATCATTCCATTGATTCAAATAGGTCATACCGCTCCTGCCTGTCACTCATGCGTCGAAACATGAAAAGACACCTTCCAGTAACACTTATAGACTAATGGAGTGTGATTTATTGTGATTGTGATTTATTGGATATTGACTAAAGACTAGCCTCAGTACAGTACTTCAACAATGCACTCTTAATGTCCACCACAGCCCCGCTCATAAAGCTCTTAACTCTACTTTGCTGTGAGTGAAATTGATTTTGAAAAAATAGCAGTGATTATGTCAATGACAGAAATAGTGATTATGTTTTTACTTTGTCATTTTTTGTTTAAATGATATAACTGATAAATAATAACTATGATTATAGCAGAAAACAAGAATCAAGGGTAAACAATGCTATCTGCCTGCCCAATCCCTGTTTACACCAAGGAGAAATTTGGGAAATGTACTGCAAACACAACAAATAACTTAATTTCACCTGAGAAATGACCAAAACTATTTTATGGAGACAACTTTTGTTTTAAAAAGCAGAAAACTGAGCGTAATAGCATAGTAGTAAACCTCCTCATACTGTTGCAGGACTAAGACAGGATACATATACATGTATATGTATGTTATAATGATAATAAAACAGTATAGTAATAATGATTACCAGACGACCCAAACTGGAAAATCAAGGAAAACTGCTTAATATCGGGACTGTGGTATGAGGCAATTTTACTTGGTTAATATAATATTATTATGTCATACACATTTTATTGCACATGATGTGCACTTTGGACTGAGTCCTATGAGGCTACAGGTTGGCCCTCTCTGCTTGAGACTTATTTGCTTTTTGTTATTTTGAATGGACATAATGGGAATAACGCCCAATATCTCCATGGAGACAAGTGTTGTTCGGTTTTCTCCCTGAGAGTGAGTGGGGTGGTGAGAAATACCACCAGTCACATCGACTTCAAGGGCCGATGAATCAATGCCCTTGTGCCGAAATAGATGTATGTGGTTTAATGGAATAGCTTAAACCACATAAGCTCGTGTTTAAAGCAGCACATTCTTTGTGGTTTGCCTGATTTTCTGACTTGCTGGTGTTGGAGTTCTATGAAAATATCTGATCAAACTGGTATGAGATATGTTTAGAATTGGAAACTTTAGTCAGTAAGCAACAGGAGTGCAACGCCTGAGGACCAGTTGTGTCATGTCTATGTTTATGTACTGCACTCCTCTTGCTGCATTCAGGGCTGAAAGGTGGAAAAATAACATAGGTTTACGTATAAACTGTCTTAGTGTTTACGGCTCCAGGCTAAAGGGTTTATCAAAGTCCTACTGTACTTATGCTCAGCAAATAGGGAACTCTTCTTAGTTAAGTTTAGTTTCACAATTTCGCACAGTCCCTAAAAGTTTATGTGCTACATTGTGAAAATGGAACTCCAGAAGCACAAGCTTATACATTAGGGGTCCATAACACCACCGCCACCACTATACATACAGTCTGTCATTTTCAGTCGGAAAAAAAGAAGAAATTCAAAGTGCTCCCAGTTACATAAGTAATAATATAATAATAATAACAATAATGATAATATTAATAAAAAACAGATCAAAATAAAACATAAATGATAATAATAAATAATAAATCTTCATCAAATTTCAAGGAAGTACAAGATGCTTGGGCAGGCGGGGCTGCTGAATGCGTCTCCGCTACCATTAATGATAATGTAATGATAATACGTAAAATACTTATTAAAATACATATTCCTAATATGTATAAAGTGTTTTCAGCTGGAGTTTACTACTATTGCCGGGTCACTTCTGCCAACCTTGAAATCATGACTGTGAAGAGAGAGAGATCTACGATCGCCTCAAACAGATCCAAATACAGACTATATCCACACGAAGACAAAACGCTTATAATTTCAGAAACTTTTTCTGTAAACACGGAGTTAGCTCAGTAAATGTGTGCGTCCATATGAATGTAGTCAATACGCCTGAAAACGCTGTGAAACTATGCCAGACCTGTTGGTCGCGCTGTGACGCAATGACAGGATCAAGCCCAAACTTCTGTGACGGGAACTGGGCATGCGCAGAATTTTGTAAACAGACAACATGGCGAGTGGGCGAGCTGGTACTACATTAGTATGGACGGACGATGAGGTTGAACTGTTGCTTCGGGTCGCACTGGATTACAAAACCAACAAGCTACATTGTTGTTGTCATTATTTTCTGAGTGCTGCGCATGCGTGCTTTAACAAGAGGCGGGGCGATGACGCAAGCGTCTCAGATACATTGCGGAGAGGCAGTAACCACGGAGCGGCATATACAGAGTTTTGAAATCTTTCCACTCTGGGACCTACTTTCAAAAATGTTCGTTTACACCCCCCCAAAACGCCGGCCTCGTATGGACGATACACTGGATTGATAAAGTATTTTTGCGTTTAGGCCTGAGCTTGACTTTGTGTGGACAGGGCCACAGAGTGGTTCAAAACCCTTAGTGCTTCAATGCTTTCATCCAGTCACATATTTCCCCAGTAGATGAGCCTTCAGTTTCCTCTTAAAATTGGATAATTTGGCACATTGCTCTAGGTTACTATCCAACTCATTCAATATATTTGGGCCTTTGTGAAAAAAATACAAAAAATTTCTGTATTTCCCTTTAGGCAGCAGTTTGTTCCTTGTACTGTGTTGTGTTTTTTATCTAAACCAGTTATTTACTTTGATCAGTTGGTCATTTAAGGAGTTTTCAAGGTGATCCATGCGTTTATGCGACATCATTTTGTTTGTGTCATCTGCAAAAAGTATTCTATGAATATTACAAGAATTACCTAAATAATTTCTGTATAATACACAAAAGGGTCCCTAGTATAGATCCCTGAGGAACACCAACATTTAAGTTTTCAGTTTGAGAGTCAGCCCCATCTACTGTATGTTCACATACCTTTTTTTCATTTCTTTCTCTCTGGGCTTAAGAAAATGTAAGTGCAAAAGCTTTACTTACGCATTTTCTGAATAAGATTGGATTGTTACATTATATTTACAAAATGTCACATTTACCTGTGTGAAGTAAAATATATATATTCTAATTTTTCTCTATTTTACATCTCTATTTGGCCAGCATCAAACTTGCGGACAGGTTTTACACAATATCCATAGTGACTGATTAAAAGCATTGTTCCGATCCTTATAAAGTGAATGTTCTGAGTGGAGTTTGCATGTTCTTCCCGCGCCTGCGTAGGTTTCCTCCGGGTACTCCGGTTTCCCTTACCACTAAAACATGCTCACTAGGTTAAATCCTCCAGTTCCGGTAGCCCTGACCAAGCCGAGCATCAACATCTGGAGGTGGGTTCCCGGGCGCTGCACCACGGCGACCACTGCTCCTGACGTAAGCCTTAGCGGCATCAGGATGGGTCAAATGCAGAGGATGAATTGCCCTACAGGGATTAATGAAGTGCACCTTTAGTACTTTTTGAAAGCAAGCACTGATTGAACCTGCCCATTCTCACCCCCACTGCTTCCTGGTTGGATGGAATTCATTTAAATCCTTACTTGTGATGTTAATGCCAGGGAAAGTAACTGTATTAAATCATTGTGTTAAAATAATAGTTACTTTATGTGATTCTATATGGTCAAATTTTCACAAATATTATTATTATTATTACTATTGTCTATTCTGCTCATATTCTCTGCTGCTTAAGTACAGTATACACATCTGTAAATACCTCAGAACCAAGTGCAATTATAGCTCCAGTGTTCTATTTTATTATCTTATTAATTAAAATTTTATAATAAGTCGATCATAATTTTTATTATCTATGATCTTAAATAAAATATCCTGTTTTATGTGTGCA